CAGGGGCATCAGGTGACTCCTTGCCTTTGCACGCTTTTCCAAGCACGGGCATCAGGTGACTCCTCGCCTCAGTACAGTATTAAATGTGCAGCAGTGGGAAAACTCAACTACACCATAGACAGTGATGTGACACGCCTCAGAGCCATGAACAATAATCTCATCAAATTTTATGAGGTTGCTAGATAACATCACTGTGGAAAGTAATTTCAGCATGTTTGCATGATACCAAAATTTGGCTTTTGGCACAACACCAGCCACTGGTATCTCGCCCAGATTCGCATTGCATTAGTAAAATATACATTAAATATAAATATAACTGACTTTATTTCTTTCTCATGGAATGTAAAATCTCACATTTGATGATTTGTACGTCATTTACACATGACTATATTTACTGTTGTTGTGTTTTCTGTGCTTTACATTAAGAAAAGCAACTTAATTAAAGATGGGAATTTGGCAATCCCATTGACTAGCACTCACCTTCCACAATTTTAGCAAATTAGCTCTGGCGAACACAGACAATGTGATTAGTATTCATGAGCCCAGCATCCTGTTAGCATGACAGGGTAAAGCTTTATAATAACTAATGACTCACAATGAATGACTCAAATGCACACAATAATCCAAAAATAATCATGACATCACAGAATGAATATGGCTTTTCATAACAATTTCTTCAAGTTTAGAATTTTGCAACACAATTCTACTGTCATCACCATGAATGACAGGAAATATGCAGAATATAAAGAATACTGACAAACTGTAAACAATTGCTAAATGTACAGTTTTAATTTTGTGCTTACAGTAGCTGTTGTCATTTGAATATAATCTGTATTTCAGTCAGTGGAAATCTGTCATATGAAACAGAGAAATCAAACACATTGAACAGCAGTCTAGAATAGGGGGGGAAAGAATGAAATTCAAATGAAAACATGTTATCATCAACAGAAAACGCTCGCTGCAGCAGGAGCAATGACAGGATCAACACTTCTCTATGAAGCTCTCAGAAACTCAAAGAGGATCTTGAATTGTGCTGAGAAACACTGAAGCCTATGAGCCAAACATTGCAATTGAGCATCAGCTTTTTAGCAAAAACGCAGTTTACGTCCGAAAATACTTTGTATACAACATTTTTTAACACTGATCTTAAGATCTACATCGACACTTAAAAAAAATTTTTTTAAACAGAACTAAACATGCAGATTATTATGACCAATAATATGTTTGATCTTTTCTAAATAAATCTTGCCTATAAATGTCTTGGTCATATTTAAATTCTAAATCAAAAGAAAAAATATGATTGGCATTCTACACATACACGCATAACATATTACAATGTTTACAATGTTTTTGTGTTCTGTGATGGCAACTCATATCTGAGGCTATATTTATCTACAGGTATATCACTGTAGTAACATTATTTTCCATAATGTTTTGGTCATATTTAAATTCTAAATCAAAAGAAAAAATATTATTGGCATTTTACACATACATGCATCGCATATTATTTGCATAAATGTCTCTCATAGTTGAGGTATACCTATGATGAAAATTACAGGCCTCTCTCATCTTTTTAAGTGGGAGAACTTGCACAATTGGTGGCTGACTAAATACTTTTTTGCCCCACTGTATGTCACTAAAATACTTGTATCAAATGACAAGTAAATAACAAGAATGCAATTTTAAATAAAATGATACTTAACTGGTAATTTTGAAATGGGACATACAAGTTGAAATGAAATTATAATTTAATATAAATATAGGACTGTATGGAGAAATTATATGAAAGTGAGAAGTAAAAACAAAATTAGATGACAAAAGTGCAATTAGACCGCATTTAAATTGCAGAACAGTGGAGGTGAATCGAAGTATATCACAGATTTACAGTTGTCTGCGTTTTCAATCGTTAAAATAATCATTTAAAACTGCTAACAAGTCTAAAGACAAGTGTACATCATTATTTCAGTATCTTGAAGCTCTTCTGTCCAAGCAGATTTTTTTTGTACTCAGAATTATGGTTTATGACAATGAGCGTCTGGCGAAATCAAGCGTGATGCCATGAATCGATCAGAATCAATCAGAGGTGTAAAGAGTACCTAAAACCATACTTGAGTAAAAGTACAGATACCTTACAGTGAACATTACTCCACTACACCAATTCCAAAACAACTTGAGTAAAAGTCTTAGAGTATCTGATTTTAACAGTACTTAAGTATTTTACTTATACTAAATATAGGCTCAAAGATACACTAGTCAAAGAGACATGCCAGTGAAAAACTATAATGTTGTGGAGAAGCTGCGGAAAACAGGCAGAGGCAATGATCTACAGGTGCATCTCAATAAATTAGAATGACGTGGAAAAGTTCATTTATTTCAGTAATTCAACTCAAATTGTGAAACTTGTGTATTAAATAAATTCAGTGCACACAGACTGAAGTAGTTTAAGTCTTTGGTTCTTTTAATTGTGATGATTTTTAAATCATAACTTGAACGGTGGTCTCGCGCTGATGACGTCAGCATCCAGGTAGGCACGCCCAGGGCACGCGATTCATACACCCACAGTGGGTTATGATTGGTCGACTGACAGGCTCAAATCGGATTGGCTAAAGAGTATGAGTGTCCCGCGTGGGAGGAGTTCGCTGCCAGGAAGGTCTCAAAAATACACTCACAAATCCAAGGCGATTCACATTCACAGCCCATGATAAACTCCTGAATTTTAAACATTCAAAAATTTTGTACACAGTTGTACATCTGTGAATGGTGTTTTGCATTTGTGAAACGTATTTTATGAATATATATTCTTATTTTGTGCATGTGAATTGGTTTTTGTGAATATATATATTTTTTCGTGCAGGTGAATTAGTTCTCATGCATGTGAATTGGGTTACGCATGTGTGCATCGTGTCTTTTGCGTGAATTATTATTGAGATCATTCTGGCTCCATAGAATTAGGCTACCTATTTGCTCATGCACGAGCAGCTCCGTTTCATCTCTGGAGACGGGTTCTGTCTTTGCGCTTGCAAATTCCGCCGTGTAAATAGCAAATCCGCCATGGCACGAGCGCAACTGCCTCTTAAAGGGAATGGAAGATTACTCTCTGATTGGTTTATTGCACGTTAAGCCCAAAAAACACCCATAACTCATTAAGAGATTAGGGACAACCCGTTTAGACCATGCGCCCGAGCGCGCCGACCGTTATCCCGTCGTTAAACTAGCAAAAGTGGATTCGGACATGCCCCGAGTGCAGCTGCGCCGTGCACTTTAGGCCTTCACTTAGATCATTAAAATAGGGCCCTTGATATGCAAGCATCATGACATCACTGTCAAGGACATCATGGTGTCTTCCCCTATGCAAGCCAGGAGGCAGATTCTGCACCCTCGGCCGCAGCTGTGGTCTCTATGGGCCTACCTGTTCAATACCTACAATCTCATTGTAGCCACGATAAAGCGCTACCCAGATAGCAAGCAACCACAGAAAAGATGTTAAATCAGTGTTAATGTGTCAACATTTTTGCAGCAGTAATTTGTGTTTATCTGTGTTCATTCAGTTGCAAAATACTACAGTATCCCTGCGAGAATCAACATTACAGTTTTTCTTCATTGCTCAGACACATTTTAAATCTTCTTTGAAAGGTTTTTCCAAAGCAATTGTCTTCATTATGTTACAAACAGTATGCCCACTTTTTGGACATGACTATTTTTATGATAAACGAGCAAGATTTAATTTGATGATTATAAGACATATGCTAACTTATGTGTCTGCATTAAAACATTTTAGATTGTGAATGATTTCTGGTTCATTGCTTTGACAACCTCTTTAGTGATGCTGAGTTTTGTTTGTCACAGTCGGTCTACCTGGACCATTCTGTATAAAAAATAACTGTTCCCACAAATCACATGACCTTCAAGAAAAGGGTGTTGCCTTCAGTATAAATAAGCTTCTGATGCAGTTGTTTGCAGATTCTCAATGTCAGCTGAAGAAGGACAGACCTAAATTGTAAGTAGAGCCATTTTAAAAATGAATGAGCGGAATTACGGTCTTAAACTGTATTAAGTCTAATGATTGTCAATATATTATTTACAGTGTGTGATAGAAGATAACACGTTATACACAAAGAATATAGCAATTTCTTTATTTACACAGTACATTTTATGCTAAAACAGTTTGTATAGGATTTTAATTAAATTTAGTAACATAATAATTTGTGATATCTCAAATCTGTATCATTATATACATTATTTAATGTTAAGATATTTGCTGATTTACACAATACTAATTAATATCTAACTATAACAAGTTTTGATGTTCCTTTGAAACAACTATTTATTTATGTTTTTCTTTAATTAGCCTCAAATTGCTTGTTAACCTGCACCATCACCATCTGAAGGAGTTATAACAGATCGTCTGCTGTTTTCTGAAGGGTAAGTCTAGCTACTGTCATTTTGGCCTGTCTTTAATTTTGTTGTTAATAACCTTAGAGAAGAGTGGATGTAAACATTCTGTTCCCGCTCTTTTCCTGCATTCATCTCAAGATTATAACTTAAATCTATACATAAAGAGCTGATATTTAAGAGGTAATCGTCTCTATGGCGACAACATCACGCCCACAAAGCTGCATCCAAGCGACCGAGGCACTGAGCGCAACGATGCAATCCCTTTGTTTAACATTAAATAAGGTGATGTCAATGTGATGTCAATAGTTTCACAATTTATTAATAATTTAATATGGATAACTGTCAAGAAACGATGTCGGTTCTCACACAAACCAAACTTTTGTTACGACTATATTTTGAAAGATTCTGTGACATGCATGTTGTATGCATGTTGATTCTTTACTAAAGTACTAATAAACATTACAGCAAATGGACTAAAACCTCTCGAGCGACTGTTGTTCCCTCACTCGAACGCGAATTCTATTCCAAAGCAAATTTGGCGGCTGGTGAAAATGCTTGATTAGATTAGGGTGACCATAGGCCCTCTTTTTCCAGAACATGTCCTCTTTTTAGACCTAAAATTGCATCGGGCCGGGATTTCTAAATCGCCCAAAATGTCCGGGATTCGGCTTTTGCTTTTTACAGTCGCCATTCATTGTGCGTTTTTGCATTAAAGCCCTGCCCGCTGTTTTCTTAATCCCGCTCCCGCTGAATTTCTGACCACATGTGTGCTCCTGCAAACATTATAATATTGCATATAATATTTGCGCATCAGGGAACCGCTATCAAGATGCGGAGTATTTAAATCACTTTGGATGCAGCTCGTGTTGGATGCAGTCATGCAGGGTTGCTAAATCTAGGGTAAATCTAATATGTTTTCCCCTGGGGCCTGGGTTAAAGGTTTGAAATATTGTATAAATTGCATTTGACTGAAATGCTTGTATTGAAACATTTTGCATTTTACCTATGATAAAACTGTGGTAGATGATAAGTTTTGTGAAGGACAGCCACTGGTAGGAAGCATTTTACCTGGGTTTATGATCAATCTGCATAATGGTGACTGTAAAATATTTATTTTAGGTAAGGAAATTACATATTTTGTGTTTTGACATTTGGGATATGGTCAGTGCGCTACTAAGGGGGCTAATTTAACTCCCTCAAACCCAGTAATAACCCAACCATCAAATCCGTCTGCATCCTACCCCCACTGTCCTCTTAATATATTTACTAATATATTAGTAAAATTACTGTTTGATTGCCAATTTAAGTAGGCCTACACTACCACAACAGCACAAAAAAAAATTTAAGCATGTTTATAAAGTGTTTTGCTTTGCATTTGGCGGTACATAAACTATACTGTTTATGTACCGCCAAATGCAAAGCAAAACACTTTATAAACATGCTTAATTTTTTTACGATTTAACAACAAAATGGTCAATTTTTTATTGAAACAATCAATATTGAAACAATATTGGTAAATTCATTGAGCTACAATTGTGGAACATCAAATTCTGCACATGGATCTCTCTCTATGTCCTTAATTAAACTATATGCTATTAATGTTAATTTTTATTAATATCATTGTTAATTATTAATATATGATTACTATTGATTAATATTAATTTACTTAAGCAAGCATCACACTGCCTTAACCACTGGTTGGTATACATACCCTTTTAATGCAAGTATACATTAAAAATTTGGCATATAGAGTCATGAATGTATGCTGTATTAAATACACTTTTGCTTCATAAGCTAACAAAGCATCATACACGTACAACCTTAACACATCTCAAACTGTAAAATAACATGTTTTTCTGTTTTAATACAGAGGAAACTGGCTGGTTGTTTAAGTCAAGATTTATGCAAAATGGACAACATCATCAAGAAAAGTATCTTATTTGTACATGGAAATCCTGCTCGATACCGTCTGCAAACAAATACCAACAATTTAGATGAATCTGAACCATTTAGAAAAATAACCTTGGGAAAGAGAGACAAAAATAACCCCCACAAAACCATTCTACTGGTGGGAGAAACAGGAACAGGAAAAACAACCCTGATCAACACGATGGTCAACTACATGTTGGGTGTAAAGAAAGAAGACAAGGTTTGGTTTGAGATCACAGATGATCAGAGCGACCGAACATCAGTTCACAGTCAGACCTCCAGCATCACTGTTTATGGGTTTTATCTAGAAGAGAGTCCAATCCATTTAACAATCATCGACACTCCAGGATATGGAGACACTCGTGGAGTTGATCTTGATAAAGAGATCGCCATGAGTTTGCTCAATTTAAGTGAATCTACTGAAGGGATTCATGAAATACATGCAGTGTGTCTGGTGATCAATGCAACACATAATCGTCTCTCTGACAGACAACAATACATATTTGATGCTGTTCAGTCTTTATTTGGGAGAGATGTTGCTGAAAACATTGTCTTGCTCTTCACACACTCAGATGGAATGCCACCTAAAAATGCCCTGACGGCTGTTAAAGAGGCTAACATCAAGTGTGCAGTAAATGACAAGAATCAGCCCGTGTTTTTCCTGTTTAACAATCATCAGTCAGACGCCGCTGATGAAGAATATGAAATCATACAAGAACATGCATGGAATCTCAGTTTTAGAGGAATGGCAGGATTGTTCAAGTTTCTTGACACAATACAACCCAAATCCTTGCAAATGACTTACAATGTGTTGCAAAAACGGGAGCAGTTGGAGGCAAATATCTCTAACCTACAATCACGTGTTCAATTGATGGAACTAAAGCAAAGTGAGCTGAAACAAACTCAAGCAGCTGTGGAGCAGAACAAAGAGCTTGTCAAAAACAATAAAAACTTTGATTATGAAGTTGAAGTGACCTACAAAGAAAAGGTTGATATTGATTATTCTCTGGCCAGGTTGGCTATGTGCTGCAACGTCTGTCAGGAGAACTGTCATTATCCAGGATGCTGGTGGATCAGTGGTCTCTCGTGGTGCATTGTGATGAAAGATAATCACTGTACAGTGTGCACTAATAAATGCCACTACAGAGAACACACAAAAGGAGAAAAAATATATAAAACACAGACAAAGACAGAGAAAAGGACATATGAAGATTTAAAGAAGAAATATGAAGACAGAATTGGAGACGGTGTGTCTTTGGTCAAGATGCTGGAAGAAGAACTGCAAGAATTAGAGAAAGAGAAAATAAAGCTGGTGAATGAAGCTTTTCACTGTGTGGAAACTCTGGAGAAAATCGCACTCAATGCTGATTCTGTGTTCACACTTCAGCACATTGATGTTCTGATTGAGAAGCTGAAGGAAATTAATGAACCTAAAAAGGCCAAAACACTGGAAGATATCAAGAAGAGAGCAGGAGAACAAAAACTTGGGGCACTTGGATACATTACAAGATTATTTAGAAGAACAAAAAACACAAATAATGCCTCAGCTATTGGAGGCATGCTGACATTCTGAAAATATGATACCGAATATGTTTCTGCTTCTTTTCAAAAACATGTCCTTCGTGTGATGTAAAACTAAATCATCACTGATGACATTTATTCTATCATTTGTTGGTATTTTAAATTAACTACTGTAAAATGATTTATTAATTATTGTAATTAACTTATTTAATTACTTAAAATAGATATTGGAAAAGCCAGAATACTTATATTTACCATAAAACTATGCACATTTAATCATGGGCATTAAGCGGTGTTTAAAGATTGTTTCAATTTTATTATTAAACGCTGCCATCTAGAGGACATATGAGAAAATGTTGTGTATCATCATAGAGGTAATAATCATGAGACATTTGAGTTTCTGTAGACTCCTACCTTTTTGAAAGCTCTGCTTTACTATAAATCTGGGCTGTACTGTTCATTATCTATCTATGTAATTGTTGTTACTTTTTAAAAGTTAAATGCCATCCTTCCGCTAGAAAAAATAGTCCCTGACCCAGTAAAGGGCAACAGAATGTTTGCGTAACATGCCTCATTTGATGGAGCTCAAATAAAAACAGTTACTGGAACTGGTCTCCTGTGCTGTGTTATTTATTTATTCTTTTAAAACAATATAAGAAATTTCCTCATGCACATATATCTGTTTATCCCAGAGTACACTTTAAGACCGGTTTGCGGCATAGCGCAAGTTCTCCAATATGATTCAATGCAGTTGCTGTCAACATCTGTATGTGAAATCAGTATTCAGGGTGTCTGTGTAACCCAGGGGTGATTCTAGGATTTTAATTTTAGGGGGGCTCAGCCCCCAATGAGGGTATAAAATATATAACACACACCTGTTTACTGTACACACACAATTTTACTGTTTGCATTTCTAGTACAACCCTCTTTCCTAAGCTCAAGTATGCAAAGCTCTTTGCCACATGCACTGGAAAATGTATTACATTGAAAGTTACATTTTCAAATGAAAATGGTAACATGATTGTTTTATAAAGTATGCGCTCATATGTGCTTCATTTTCGCTGGAGGAAACAGCTGTGGTGTGATGAGGGGTGAACGCAGCGAAAACTTAGGCTATAGTAGATGGGGAACCGATTGATATTTTGTAAACTGTATTTATGATAAAGAACAGAACTGCACAGATGCAGGGGTAGTGTAGCGCCCTCACCACCTGATGAGGGGAGATGTGAATTGTGAATAAAACACAGGACACGGAGCTGCTGCTTCACCATCAGAGCCTCACACATTCTATGCTAAGTACTAAATTATTTGTATATATGCTTGCCTATATACACGGCCTGAAATTTGGTGTGAGGTTGCGGGTATTGCATACAGTGTTAACTCCCGCAAGTGCCACGTTCGGTAAATTCCCCACTCACTCACTTATGAGACGCGCGAGCTGCGCTGCCTCGACTCTCTCTCGCGTGCGTTCTGCAGCGGTCACTTGGATAAGTCGTTGTTGAACTTGTTGACTTTTGATGAGTTTGAGCGCGTGATGCGCGCTGTGAAAACGATTTTTTTTATCCATTTTATGCAATCCGCCTTCATTTAGCAAGTGCACTCGCGCATAAACAATTTTCAAGTTCAACACTTTTTGTTCCATTCAGTTGTGGATGCTGCTGATTCACAGAGACTGCTGCGGCTCAGCAAAGAGATGCTTGTGTGTGTGTGTTTTCCTTTGAAAAAGTTTCCCCAGAAATAACTCGCTATTTAATGCATTTTCCCTTACAAATTATATTATCCGCATAACAGTTTGCCATCCTTCTAGAACAATGTGGATATATGTTAAAATTGTAACATAAATGATCAATTTTAGTTATTTTTATTTCTTTATTGCAAAACGCTAAAACTGGCACCGTTTTGGAGAGAAATGGGCTCTCATTTTCTCAGTGGCCTTGCACATGATTTTAAATCTATTTTTTTCAAACTTTGATTTAAATGGGGATGATTGAACTGAGAATAATCTTCATCTTTTCTGCAACTGAATACTGTTTCCGGGCTGTTTTGATGTATTTTAAAGAGTTGGCAGTCAAAATCAAAACTGCTGGATGATAGATACTCTTCATTCTTTATGACAAACAAGATAATGTGAATTACAGAATGTACAACGTGTTTAAAATGTATCAATTGCGGTGTAAAGTGTTTATTATGAGGGGGAAGAATCCACAGCTCAGTACTCACTACTCAATACTCATGAGTACTTTTAAATAGGCTACTCTTTTACTCTTACTCAAGTAGTTTTTTGGACAAGTACTTTTACTCTACTCACACTACATTTTTTGGAAGGTAACGGTACTTTTACTTAAGTATATTTTTTCAGTACTCTTTCCACCACTGCTCACAGTGCTTTGATATCCATGTAATCTTGGTCACTAAGAGGCTGTTTAGAGACTGTTTTAACTGTATTATTAAGTGCTGCCACCTTGAGGTCATATGAGAAAATGTCTATTCTTCAGGTGAAGGAATATTTCCATATTTACACTCTAAAAAATGCTGGGTTGTTTCAACCCAATGTTGGGTCAAACATGGACTAACCCAACTGTTGGGTTAAATTTTGGTTGCATTTTTAAATTAACTTTTTAACCCAACAGTTGGGTTAGTCCATATTTGACCCAACATTGGGTTGAAACAACCCAGCATTTTTTTAGAGTGTATAAAGAAACAGTGATCAAAATCTGAGACTGTCATGAAAGCTCTTCTGGACTGTGTCGTTCATTTTCTATGACCTTTGTGGACCTTACATGTGTATTGCTTTATGGTTTTTCTTTGAAATAATACTAAAATCTTAGAGAATATGCAGCAGAAATATGAAATGCTTTTACTTGTATCTTACTTATATAAATAAAGTCATTTAATTTATTTTTTCAGAATATTCCTGTACAGCATTTCTTGTCAGAGCCAAATGTGTCTCCTCTCCACCCTAGTGTGTGTTGTGTGTCGGTCAGTAGCGGTATTGTCATGAATCCAGTCCATGAACTTCCGTCTGCTAGCCATCAGAGGTCACCCTTTCCATTTTCATTGACTCTCGCACTACACGCGGTTGCATATCATCCCGGACTACATATCCCATCATTCATTGCACTGATTGCACACAGCACTGATTGCACACAGCTGTTTCACTGATTGCACACAGCACTGATTGCACACAGCTGTTTCATATTACTCACTCCCTATTTAGCACTCACTCTTATCCCTTCCCTCTGCCGAGTATTGTTTAGCGCCTATCATTTGATAGCTACTCTACAGAGCCCTCGTTAATTTGCCCTGGCCTAGCCTGGCCTAGCCTGGCCTGGCCTGGCCTGGCCTGGCCTGGCCTGGCCTGTTTTCTCGGTTTCTGATCCTTGCCTGGTTTCCTGGCTTTATCCCTTTAGTCTTGCCCCTTTTGATTCTGTTCGCCGTTCGTTGACCTTCGCTAGCCCTAGGGTTATTCTTGTGTCTTGCCCGCCATATACCTGTTTGCCATTGGTCGACCCTGCCTGTGTTTCTGACATCCTCTCTTGTTAATAAAGCTTGCACATGGATCTGCATGTCTCACGTCTTGTCAGCTCCGTAACAGGTATGTGAATCATCCCGTCCTGCTTTGTCCATCTTTTAAAATAACCCACAGCAGCTGAAACAAAGCCTGAGAGACTGGAACAGTTCATGCTGATGACTGAAATGACAACAACTGACGGAAACATGACATGAACATAAAACACTATGAACATCAGCACTGGAAAGTGTCTATCATAAACATGCATTAAATCAAATAACACTTTTCATTAGGACAATTAAACGATAACTGCTAAATGCTCCCTTATCTGTGTTTACCATTTAGATAGAGCATGCTTGTCCATTTGACAAATAATAATCTTACTGACAAAACCGCAAACTACAGAACAAGTAACACAATAGTTATTTGTATTTGTCTCATAAAAAGCAGTAATTGTCAATCAGTTTCCAGGGACTTTTTTTTTTGGTGGTTTTGCTTTGTTAAATCTATTAAACATACATATTACACATTTTTAATATAAATATAAATAAAAAATAAAAATAAATAGTTGCATAAATAGTAAATAAAAATAAATAATACTTTAAAATAAAAATAAAAAGGGATTTATTAACATAAATAATAAAAACTATAATTTTTTTGGATTCCCTCGTTTAAATGGCTTTGTTAAATCTATAAAAATACATTATTTCAAATAATATAAATAAATAAAATAAAACAATGGCATTAGGGATTTATTAACAAATGCAGACATGGCAACGCAACACGTAAAAAGACAGTATAAGTCATTATAATCAGTAATTATGTCCCCACTGGATGCAACAAATGCCTCGTTTATAATGGGTTTGAATGTTTTTGTCTCGTCGCTCCGGCCGGACAGGGCATCACAGTATGGTGAGGGGTGTAACATTTCCATCACACGCTTGAGGTATTCGGCCAATCACAACGCACTGGATAGCTGGCCAATCAGAGCACACCTCGCTTTCAGACCGATGAGCTTTGTAAAAATTGACGTGTTTCAGAAAGGCGGGGCATAGAGGAGAAACAATAATGTACAGTATGTGGAAAATAATGTGTTTTTTGAACCTTAAACCACATAAACACATTTCATTACACCAAATGTTTCTTTTTAGCAACATCATATGACCCCTTTAAAAACAGCATGCTCATAAAAAGTGAAATATTCATAGCAATCAGGTCAGACTGCCACTAGGAGGACTCATAGTGCTAAGATACATTTATTTGTGGATCTTTGTGTGCCACTAGGATTTCTTCAGGATACATGCAAAACACATTCAAAATTAACCTGCATTGAAATTTCTCAAGTGTAATTTTAGAAAACCTTGAATCAAACAACACACACACATTTACATTTAGCATTTAACATTTTATCCAAAAGCGACTTACAAATGAGGACAATGGAAGCGATCAAAATCAACAAGAGAGCAATGATATGCAAGTGCTATAACAAGTCTCAGTTAGCTTAATGCAGTACATGTAGCAAGGGTTTTTCTTTTTTATTA